CACATACATTATTTCTTGTAACATTTACAATATACGTTCATGTACTTGTGTTTACCCATTCTCCAGTTGATGGGCACCTACTTTTGTTTTCAGTTCTTCTTTACTATGAATGGTACTGCTTTGAATATGTTAATATATATCAGATATTTTTGTATTGGATCCCAGTGGTATATACACCTGCCCATGGGATTTCTTGGGCAAAGGACATTCTAATCATTTATTTCTAGCATAGCTCCAAATTACTTTCCTGAATGATTGAACCATGAGTGTGCCTGTTCTTCTGCAACCCACTCGAACATTGGCTTTTAACATCTTTACTGTGTGCAAGGTAATTAAGAGTTATTTTGCCTTTTTTTTAAAGTGATTTCATATGATAGTTAACTGCTGTTTTTTGAGAATTCTTTTCATATCCTTTAACTGGTTATCTATTGGAGAGTGACTCTTGCCCTTAAATATTTGCATTAATCCTCTCCATGTTGAATATCAAGCCCTGTCATAGAAATATAAAGTAAAAAATTTTTTTAAAAAGTGTAGATTAAGACATTAATTTACTAAAACTTGGAGATATCGATGAGTTTTAATTTTTCTTGTCTCATTTCTGTTGCTAGCATTTCCAAAAAACTTTAATAGTAGTGGGAATAGAGAAGTAATCTATGTTTTACCTCTAAATATAGAGAAAGTTTCTAGTGATAAGTGTCTCTCTTTCTCTCTTTCCCTGTCCCTCTTCCTCTTTGTCTGCCTCCCTTCCTGTCCAATATGAGGGAGAATGAAAATAGCAAAAGAGAGTGGACCTGTGATTTCTGTAGGGAACTCCTGGGTTAGGAAATTCTCTTTACCTACAAATGTAGCTTCTCACCTTCTCTACATTTTATAGTCTTAGAGAGTTGTCTAGAGCATGAGAGGTTAATTGATTTGGGCAGGGGTCATACAAGCAGTGTATGTCAGAAGCAAGATTTGATTGAATACAAATCTTCCTGATTTCAAGGCTTACTCTATTCACTACCTATGCCACTTGTTTTTTCCACTGTTAAACCTAGACTCTCAAAATATTTGAAGACCTGTATTAATACAGTTAAGAATAAAGAAGGCAGAATGAGGAGAGAAAAGTACATAAAGAGTATTTACAAGTAATGTAAGTGAAAACATACAGATTAGCTGGACTGAGATTGATTACATTGATCTGCTTATTTCTGTGGGACAGATGGTGCCATATATTTTATCTTGGTGGAGAGGTGGATAACTGTGGGTGCAGCATGTCATGTATTTGTCAATTAATTTTGATAAGTTGTTTTTCTTTGTTACTAAGAAGGGTTCAATGGGGTAGAGGAATGTTTAAGAAATGACTGGTGCAAAATTCAAAAGACTTCACTAAAACCAAAAAAAGTCTCAGTAATTTGAGCATATTTGGTTAGTTTATGGCCTCTTTTTCAGATTCATTAATCTGTTTCTGTTCTGGACTTGGGAAGTTTCAATTATTCATTACAGCTTTTTAATACATTTTGGAGTAGAAAATTGATTTCTGCCTTTTTGCCCTCAGCAGCCCATTGGTTCTTCCATATTAATTTCATTACTATTTTATCCAGTCCTATAAAGTAACCTGTCAGTATTTTCATTGGTATTTATTGTATTAATTTGGGAATTATTGATGTTTATTATTTTGGTTCATTCCAGCCATATACAAAGACATTTTTCTATAAATGATCAGGTCTCTTTTTATAAATCTTGGTAAGCCAATAGAATTGGTTGTATTTCAACACGGTCTCTGTGGGGAAGAGGAAAAAGGGTGAGACATTCTAGAAACAGAATAGTTTGAGTGAAAGGATGAAGTTGAGAAAGCTTATTGTGTCTTTGAGGAATAGTATGAAGTTTACTTTGACTGAGAGCAGACCTGGGGAAGAAAGTAAAAAGTTTTTTCTTGTCTTTCTTTTCTCAGCAATATGATATGATTTCCTAGAACTGAGTCTATTATTCTCTCTTTGGCTCTAGTGATAGAGATTTGGCTATAGTTCTAATTTCAGTTTTGTGTTTCTTTACTTTTTTGTGCTACTAATTGGATTTACCAAGTTTGGTTGCATAACAATTGGCTTATTTTTATATAGTGCTTTATCATTTACAAAACATTTTCTTCACAGATACTCCAAGACAGGTAATGTACATATTATCTCCATTTTACAAATGAGGAGACTCAAGCTCAAAGAAATTGGAAGTTGCCCATGGTTCATACATTGAAATAACTGGAGTTGTGACTTGAACTTGTGTATTGTTTATTCCAAGTCCAGTGCCCTTCAGATCATTTATCTCTCCGGTTTTGGAATTCATTTGATCACATTCATCAGACAAATGCGTGACATTCCTCCATTGTAGTAATTATATGAAATATGTCCTCTTGCCTGAGTTTTTGTGCCACATCCTAATCTCTACTTGGTATGTATACCACTACCATCCAAGTAAGTCATTAAACATAAAACTACCATGGACAACCAGACGCCCAAAGCAGTACTACTCGTGAGATTGCTAGAAAGTGTATTCAATTTGTCTCATAGTCCTTGTCTCTGTCAGTAAACATTTATTAAGTGCCAACTATTTGTCAGGTCCTGTGCTAAGCTCTGGGGATACAAAGAAAGACAAGATAGTTCCTGCTTTCAAGGAGCTCTAATTGGGGAGGTAACATGAAAACTACTATATACAGTCAAGCTGTATATGGGATAAATTGAAAATAAGCAGTAGAGGGAAGGCCATAGAATTAAGAGGGATCAGAAAGCCTTCCTGCAGAAGATGGGATTTTATCTGGGACTTGTAGGAAGCTAGGGCAGCCTAAGAGATGGAGATTAGAAGGGAGAACATTCCCTGAATGGGAGATGTTGCAGAATTCCCCGTTTGCATGGAGTTCTAAGAGATTGATGACAACATCTTTTCCCCTTGCACTTGTGGCTACCAGATTTGCCGCTTTTGTTGACATTGTATTCAAGCCTGTACGAATGGACTTTGTCCTGCTTGCGGAAAGATACATGTCCTAAAAAGACGTTTCCTTCTCCAGCTCATTTTACAGATGAGGAAAGTGAAGCAAACAGGTTTAAGTGACTTGCTTATTAAGGTCACACAGCTACTAAGTGTCTGAGACAGCTAGATTTGAACTCAGGAAAATTGAATGAGAGATAGCTACCCCCTAAATTTCTTCACAAAAATATCAGAGCTTTGGTTGCATTAAGTGATTGTAGACTGACTACCTCTCAGAAGTAGATTACAAGTGTATTACATGAGCCCTAAATAGTATAGTTGAATTTTCCATCTGTTGAGCTTAGATTTGGTTCTGTGGTATAATGGCACAGATTGTTGCTCAAAGGAAAAGATAAGTATTTTTCAGTTCTCTGAAAAAACCAGATTTTTAATTCAGGTTTTCCATATAGTGCCAGTGTTTTGTTAATTCTTTTTTGTTGTTGTTCAGTCATTTTACTCGTGTCTGATTCTTCCTGACTCCATTTGAGGTTTTCTTGGCAAAGATACTGGAGTGGTTTGCCATTTGCTTCTACAGCTCATCTTATAGATGAGGAAACTAAGACAAACAGGGTTAAGTGACTCACCAGGGTCACACAGTAAGTGTCTGAGGCCAGATTTAAATTCAAGTCTTCCTGACTCTAGGCCCAGCAACTCTAATCCTTTGTGCCACCTACAAGCCTCCAATACTCGGTGATTTGCCCAAGGTTAAACAAATACTAAGTGGCAGATTTGTTGCTATTGTTGTTCAGTTGTTTTTCAGTCCTATCTGATTCTTCAAGACCCTGTTCAGAATTTTTCTGGTGAAGATACTGAGGTGGTTTGCTATTTCCTTCTCCAGCCTGTTTTACAGAGGAGGAAACTAAGACAAACATGGTTAAGTGGCTTGTCCAGGGTCACCCAGCTAGCATCTGAAGCCAGATTTGAACTTAGGAAGATCAGTCTTCATGACTCCAGGCCCATCATTCCACCCACTGGGCCACCCAGCTGCCCTTTTTAACTCTTACGTAGGAAGTTAATTCACTTAAAAAGAATCTTTAAGTCTGTTATTTAACCATGCTCTCACTTTCCACTACTTACTAGCCTCTTCTCCTCCTCCCCCCTCTTGTTATAAATAAGTATTGTCAAGCAAAACAAATAAACGCATTGGCCACAACTGAAAATGTATGCCTAAATTCTGTACCTCTAGTATGCTGTCTTTGCCCACAGGTCACCCTTGAAGTCTTCTGAAGTCATTTTTTAAAAAAGTATTTTGGATGGTAGTGGGGTCAGGTGTGTTACATTTTGCTATTATCTCTTCCTCATTTCTTTTGATTTACAGTGTGACCTTTGGAGTTTTGTTTGTTTGTTTTGCACATAAGCTTTCTGTTTTGTGAATCAGAAATAATGTTGTGGGTCATTGATTTCCAATGACACGTCCAAGCGTGGTTAGTGTATAAGCAGTTTGAAGGCATATACATTAAATATACCTATTTTATCAGATTGGAGTTCTCAATATTTAATATAGTTGCAATGAATCTTAGAAGTTAAACAGTTTATGCTTAGCATGTTATTATATGTGCTTATAGATTCAGTAATATGTTTAGATATGTTATGTATTTTGTTTTTCACTTATGAGAATCCTGCCATAAAGTAAAAGGTTATTGAGAGGCTGAGGAGTAAGGCTTAAGACAGATCATGCCTGTTCATCTCCTCTCTTCCCCTGAGATGTGTCAGTATAATGCTTAAATATTCTCTAAATCTTGTTAGGAATGCTGAGTATTTTTTAAGCCCCCTATTTCGTGCAATAATTCCACAGAGCCAATTTCCCCTTAATTCTCTCTATACCTAGCCTTTGATCTCAGATTTATATGCTAGCGATGTAATACATGCTTTCACTTCTTATATCAAATGCAAAAATTATTAAACTCATTTACTCTATAAAGCTACAAGTTAGGTAAAACATAGTTTTTAGTGTTTTACATGCACAATTAATTTTTGTTGTATTTTTTCTGATTTTCTCACAGGTCTTCAGAGTGCTCCATTTTAATTTTCAGTGCTGACCTTCCTTCTCCCTTAAGTTATTATAAACTTTTTTTGCTGCTGTGTATACACGTGAAGATGTCTCGAAGTCCCGATGCAAAGGAAGACCCTGTGGAATGCCCCCTTTGCATGGAGCCCTTAGAGATCGATGATATCAACTTTTTCCCTTGCACTTGTGGCTACCAAATTTGCCGCTTCTGTTGGCATCGTATTCGCACTGATGAGAATGGACTTTGTCCTGCTTGCAGAAAGGTACATACCCTATGGTAACTGCTTAAATTTTTCATGTTGGTGAATCAACAAGTTAGTAAAGTCGTCTTGATTATAGGAGTGGGAGGGAATCTGTATTTATCTTCACCTGAAGTTAACAAGTAGTGGAAATAGCACTGTAGTTTAGGAGTTAGGAGACCTAGCATCTGGTCCTGGCTCTGTGATTTTGGGCATGTCACTTAATCTTTTGAGCGTCAATTTGCTCATGTATGTGAAATGAAGGACTTTACCTACTTTGATTCAACAAATATTTATTGAATGACTCTCCCCTGTCTTCTGTCCTTTCTCTCTCCTTTCTCTCTTTCCCCTGTGTGTGTGCGGGCATGTGTGCGTGTGTGTGTGCACACACACGCTTGGTAGGGTAGGATTAGATGATTACTAAAGTCCTTCCTCTTGTTCTTATTGATATACGAATCACAAATCAACTAATGAACAGTATATAATAATGCTTGTTAGCAAGAGATGTTTTGCCTCATCACTGATAGATTTTGCTGATGGCCTTGGAGAATAATGCAAAGAACTGTCCCTTTCAGATCTGAGAAAAGTTTTCTTTACTCATGTGGCTTTTAATATGATTTTTTGGTTTATAAGGACATCTTAAACTACACCACTTTTTCTTTTACTTGATAGTTACTAAAAATGTTGTACCATTAGATTTTTATAAAGCTCTAAATTCATGATAGTTAAGTTCTCATTGATGTCTTTGAAACAGTCCACTTTTGTAACTGTTTGGTTCATAATAATGTACAATGTATTAAAGGTGATTAAGATTGTGGAAGTGCTTTGAAAATTATAAATGAGTAGCATGTGAAAATCTTATACGTATTGAAATAATATTTAAATTTAAAACCCCCATTTTTTAGGACTTAGGAGATCTATCAAATAATTTCTATCTTCTGGGATTAAAAAATACAGTGAGTGATATTTAAAATTTTATTTAAAAAACAGGGTAGATTTGAGGATGATTGCTCAGTTTCATTCTCCTGAACCTGATAGATTATTTAATAGAGTCTATTATCTTTTAACTTGGAGTGTTATAAAGTAAAGACTTTGAGAAAGAATACAGTAGTCACTTAGTCACTTAAGTAGTCACTAGGGGAAAGCAAAATTACTTGGGGAACACAGTAAGGAAAATGTTACTGAGGGATTATACTAGATAATGCAAGCATACCAATTGATTATTGATCCAGTCCCTCAGGCTAGCAACCTAGGAGTCATCCTACACTCTTCACTACCTCTCAGCCTCCATGTCCAAGCTGTTGCCAAGGCCTGTAGAATTCACCTTTGCAATATCTCTCAAGTATACCCTCCTCTCCTCTGACACTGTTATCACTGCAGGGCAGTGCTTCATCTTCCCATGCCTGCATTATTGCAATACTCTGGTAGGTCTTCCTGTCTCATCATCTCTCCCCACTCTAATCTATCCTCTATTCAGCCACCAAAGTGATTTTCCTAAAGGTCATGTCTGATCACGTCACCACCACCCTTTCTTCCCCCTTCCCCCAACTCAGTAAACTCCAGTGACTTCCTGTTGCCTCAAGGAACAAATACAAAATCCTCTTTTTGGCATTCAAAGCTCTTCATAACTTAGACCCCTCCTAACTTTTCCAGTCTTTTTACACCTTACTCTCCCCCACATACTCTGATCTAGTGACACTGGCCGTCTAGCTGTTGCATGAACAAGACACTCCATTTCTCAGCTCCAGGCATTTTCTCTGACTATCTCTCATGCTTGGAATGCCCTCCCGTCTTCCACTGTGGCCTCCCTGGCTTCTTTTGAGTCCCAAGGAAAATCCTACCTTCTACAGGAAGCCTTCCCTAACCCATCTTAATTCTAGTGCTTTCCCTCTGTTAATTATTTCTTATTTATCTTGCATGTAGCTTGCTTTGTATATATTTGTTTGCATATTATTTCCCCCATTGGATTGTAATCTCCTTGAGGCAGGGACTGTCTTTGACCTCTTTTTGTATCTCCAGCACTTAGAACATAGTAGGTACCTAACAAATGTTTAATGATTGATCTCCATAGGTGAAACTTAATGCAACCTCTTTTTTTTCCCACCCTTATGTAGAAAGTTTGCTGCTTAAGAAACTTGAGCATAGAACATTGATTTCACTGATATGGGAAACTTGCTTTTGAGGAAACTTCCTCTTACGCATTGCAGATCAACCACTCTTCTGCAATTTATAGTCTTAGAGTCCACTGGGGCATTTGAGAGGTGAAGTGATTTACAAGCATCATACTGCCATTATGTGTGAGAGGTGGGACTTTGTTTGACACCAAGGACTAGGTCAGCTCTCTATTCTACTTGTTATTAATAAATGACTTCTTGCCTCATTCCTCACATCATTTTGTCAGGAAAAATGTTGCTTTTTTTCTTTTTTTAAATCAAAGGAAGTTTGTCTTATTTGCAAAATTAGCAGAGCAGTCAGTTTGTGGCATTTCTAAGGCAGTCCCCACAGAGGGTCGCAGCAGTTTACTTGGAAAATTCTGAATTGTTTACTTATGTCTCAGAGGTGGTTCAATAGAAACTATAATAACCTTTAAACTTTGTTTTTGTAAGTCAAAATTTTCCCCTTTTATGATCATGTTATTATTTGAGTTAGAAAGGGTGTGTATGTGTATGTATGTATGTATGTGTGTGTATACATACATATGTATATATACACACACATACACCTATGCATATATCTACACATATGCTGACATGGTAACATGTTTTATCTGAGCATAAACATATAGAATTTTAGTATTGGAAGTCAGCTTGGAGGTAATGTCTAATCTTGACTAGTCTTTCAGAAAATATTGTGAAGGTGAGTAATAGTCTGTTCTTTTTTTTTTTTTAACACTTCTCCCTGGATTTTGCATATTTCTAAATCTGTGTAGTGAAACCACATGGTTTTAATTATCATCTTTCAAGTTTTTTTGTGATCTAATCAAGATGAGTTCATTCATTGATATGACTTTCTAATAGACATCTGTCTACATTATTAAAAATAATTGAATCTGCTGGAATTCTCTAACAATATGTTAAAAATTTAACTGGTGAGTTTTGTAAATTGCTATGCAAAATTTAGAAGGTAGTCTGAAATAGTACTTCATAGGAAAGATTCATGGTTTGATATAGGACTTTGCCCATGGCAAAGTCACTTCTTAGATCTTGGACAAACCGGCATATAATATCTTCTTTTGACTTACAAATCATTCTCCAGGCACAATGCATAATTGTGGAAAATTTCTTCATGGTCAAGTTTGTAATTGTATTAACAGGATATGTTAAGGAGAATTTTGATGGAAACTTAACTGCTTTCTTTTTCTATATTGCTAGAACAGCCTGGTTCAGAGCACAATTACAGAAGAAGTTCCATCTAGATTATCTTAATTTACTTAGAAGTTTTTCTTCTCTCTTTTTCTTTCTTCTCTTTTTACAGGAAAAAAAAGAGCTTTATTCTTCTTAAGGCCTCTATTATTTCTGATTACTTTTCATTTTTACTAGAATACTGAAATTTCATTGGATATTTCATGATGACCATTTAGTTTTAATTCAGTGGACATTTTAGACATGGGCTGTATGCAGAGTGCTGGGAATATCCTGAAAACCTTGCATTTTATTTGTGCATTTATAGTAGGAAGATAGGAAAACAAACAATTTCACATTGAACTGTGGGAGGATAGGAGCAGGCTTCATTACTATGAAAGGTAAAAGAGCCATAGGACAAGAGTTTGAAGTAATGGCAGGATCAAGTTGAATTTTTAAAGAGTGGGAGATTTGGACATGTTTTGTGCAGCAGGGAAATCTCTGCTAACCTCATCCCAAGCTGTGACCCCCTTCCTGTGGGTTTCCACTCTAGTAGCTTCTTTCTGTTTCTTCTTCAGTCTCTCCTTATCCACTAACCTGCTCCCAAGATAGAATTACTTGGAGCACACCCAAAAGATATCCCTTTGTAATGCTAGCCCTCAGCTTTCAGCCTCAGAGACCCTGGAAGCACTGGTGCCCTATCATTACCTTTAGTACCCTGAGGCTCTGAATCTGTGCTGTATTTGAATAGTCCCTCCGCAGCTTTTGGAGTTTGGAGACCAGAAAGTAATTCTTGGTGATTTGGTCCTTGGGGAATGGGCTGAACTCACACGCAACCTGCCTGACTTGCTTCAGCCTCCACTTACATAGCACCAAGCACTGTATAATAAACAGCCTCCATCTTTACTTTCCAAGTCTGATATGTAGAATACTATTAATATGTTGCTAAAGTCAAGTTTAGCTCTGTCTTTGAGAGACTTACCGACATCATAGTGATAAAATTAATTAAAACCTGACATGTAAATAACCTGTAAAATATACTAATACATGTGAGAAATGGTAAAAGAAAATATGTATTGAAACATGTCTTGTTTGCTTTCTTGGATTGATCTGGTAATTAAACATCAAAATGAGTACAAATAGATTCAAGTATTGACATAGTATTTTTTATTGTTGATTATTGTATTAGGCATTATTGTTAAATCATTTATAATAGTTTGGAAGAACATCAAACTGACAATAAACTAATCAGTTTGGGTTAAATGTATGAGTTGTAAACTTCATTTCCTGCTGCATTTAGTTCTTTTGAAATATTTTTAAAATTATGAATTTAATAATCGTCATTACAACATACAAAGAATAAAAAGAGGATTTTATATGAAGCTTAACCTCTGTTATTATAGTTTGTCATTAAAAAGTGTATATAAAATTTAACAAGGTAGTAAT